TAAATTAAGAAAGTTGGTAAAAAAAAGTTTGCTAGACAATTTTTCTTGCCAGAAATTTAAACATATTTATAAATCTTTCATTCATCCATGTTTTGAAAATTATGTCGTTTGGAATATAAATTAATCAAATATATGGTTTCTTGGCTTAATTTTTGGATTTATTTATAAAAAAAAAATAAACAAGGATTCTGAAAGTAAGGAATAAAAAAATTTTTTTTAAAAAAAATGAATTCTTAATATTTATTTTATCAGACTTTGGGAAATCAATCAGACTGATTTGCTTTTTATGACTTATCAACTGTGTGTTATTTAAAGCTGAAACATATTTTAAACACAAAAATATTCATTTTAAAATTTTTTTTAAAAGAAAAATAAAAAAAAAAACTTAGAAAAAAAAATGTGAAAATTGTCATTTTTCCCTGTTTGAATTTTCTAATTAATCATAATTCTTTATTTAATGATTGAATAAATTTTTGAATCAATTTTATGACTAAAAACATTTGGAATTTGCATTTAGAAATATCTGAGCTTAAAAACTTAAATATTGCAATAACAATCATAAGTTTGAATGCAAGTCATTATTTAAAGTAAGAGAGTACAAATGCATAGATTCAAAACTGACCATGTTTTACATTTCACTGAAGCAGAAGTTAAAATCATGATCATTATCATATTTTATATTTTTTTTTTTATTATACATGTTTTTTTTCTTTAAAAACTAAATAGCATTAAATGATATATTTTTTTCTTTTCATTTTTCCTATCCATTGCTAAATATATTTACAAAAAAAATATCTATTAATTTGTAGACATACCAATTGAAAGTAAGAAACCTGATCCTCCTGTTATCACAATCATTTAAAAGAGCCAAAGCTTCTAGAAAAACAGAGTATGTTGCTGCCATATATGTGTAAAAAAATGATTGGTCTGTACTTTCCAGTCTTGATAGAGTTAAAAAACTATCTCTGCAATCCTTATAGAAATTATTAAAATGTGAAAAGAGTTTTTTTTCATGGATGAAGAAATTGCAAGTCTTTTCACATTATTTCCATGGAAATTAGTTCAGACAAATTAAAAATTTAGTTCCTCATTCAACCAAAATCTTCAAACTAAGAAAACCATGCCACACACATTTTTTGAACCACCATCTTTAATGATAAATAAAGTTACACTCAAGCAGCTTCTTCAAAAGGATTTTTTGCTTTTAAAGAAAAATAAAGAGGAAGTTTTTTTCCTCCAATCACTATAATTTTAACTTGTTCAAGTCTAGATTGGAACCATTATTTAACATTAAAAATAAAATTTTATCTAACCCTTTAAACATTGAGTGTCTTTTTTTTTTTATATCAGGTGAAATCATAAATTTAAAAAATTAAAATAAAAAAAAAAATGATGTATTATTTATCTTTGGCAATGTCAAAAGATAAAAAAAAACTTAAAATAATTTTATTATTTTAATTATTTTATATAATGAAGGAACAAGCAAAATTATATAATACTAGTTTCATGGTTTTCCTATTTGAAATTTCTGATGAATCCTTAATTTAATAAGTTAATGACCAAAGAAGCTTATTGTGAGTTCCACAACAATAAAATATTTTATATATAAAAAGAGTTGGGAGTTCAATACCTGGCCACAGCCGAGGTGAACAAAAATCATGGAGAGAGAGTTATTAAAGGGCCATAACTGAAACTGAGATATCTAGACAAGACATGGCATATGGAACTAGAACAATCTACCCACCCTATGGACTAAATAAAGTGTTTAGTTTGAAATTCCAATGCATATCACATGAAGAAGGTCAGAGCATAAAGCCAAATTTCATGAATAAAAAATTTCTGAAAAATTATGTAGTATAAATATTTTTTTTCTACCTCATCTCAGAAATATAAATAAATATTGAATAAAAAGTTTAAATAATTTTATAATTAAAGCATTTTAACATTTTTTTTATCAAATTAGAAGCAATAATTATATTTTTAGTGTTGGGTAGTCATTAGATTTAATGTGTTAGAGTGAACCATATAAAATATATATGGCAAAAAGCCATATATATATATTTTAGCACTTTAAGGTGATCCATTTCAATTTTAATATTTTTTTGACAAGTTCATCTTTGACACAGGGAACTTGACAAAGACTGAATTCACTCTTTATAAGTTGCAAAACCAGCCAATGCATTTCTGCTGGATTTTTTTTTAAGCATTTCATCCCAAGCAAAGTGGAAGTGCCATTAGTATGCAAGGGTCTTCTGAGAGTGAAAGTAAGGGAATAGGAGGAATTGGGGAAAGGATAAAAAGAATGGGGATCAAAGCAACAGAAGATGTTGATTGACATTATATTTAAATTTTTGAAGATTATGGTTATCAGGGAAGCAAGTAAGAGGAAGGAAGTTCCATTGTCGGGAAGTGCGATAGAAGAAGCTGTTGGAGTAGAAGAGTTGGTTCCATTTAACTGTTTTGACAGCAAAAGGATAGGACTGCAATGCCAGGCTACAGGAATATATCAGTTCAGTGAACAACATAGAACCATACTCCAAGAATAAATAAAAAATAAGGAGTTCTGTTGAATTTTATGGTCAAAAAAAAACAATAAAAACAAAAAAAGATGTTGTTGCTATGAATAAAAAACATCTCAATCAAGCAAGAACAGAAAATTTAATTATCTGGAAAGTGTTTTAACAGATAATGGAAAATGTGACACAGAAATCCAAAGATATATTGGAATAGCAAAAAGTGTTTTCCAAAAGTTAACTGATATTTTCTTTATAAACAGGAAAATTTCATTAGAAATTTTTATCTACTTATAAATTTTTTTGCTTTTGATACTTTCAAAGACATTTGACAGGGTTTGGCATTTACAAAAAACAAGTTGAAAGGTCATGGTATTTCTGGACATATTTTTGATCAGATTCTTCAAACTTTCTTATCAAATTTTGAAAATGAAAGTTATTTGAATGGCCATCCTAGAGGCTTTTATTTTGGACCTACATTTATTTTCCAAATTTCATCAATTATGATGACAACTATTTACTCCTGTCTTAATGGCAAAAAGGTAATGTGTCTAATTCAAGAAGGTAAGAGTGACACATTTTCAAAGTGAGAAAAGTTTGAATATTTTTTATCTTGTTCTTAGTTTAATACTGGCAAATTAATCTAACAATTAAAGTTAAAAAATACAGAAATTAAGAATTTAATTCAAAATTAATCAGAGTTTTAATTGAAAAAAAACAAATATTTGACAACAATGCATTTTAATTATTTTATATAATTTCTGAAGTATAAATCCTGAAATAAGAGAATGGTTGTTTAGGAAAACATTGAAAAAAAATTTTTTTAGAAAAAAGAAAAAGCCAAATTTTTGAGACTGTTACATGATATTTGTCCTCCTGTATGGCAGTGAATACTGGACAATCTCCTCAAAAATTAAAAAGGAGACTTGAAGCAACAGAAATATGTTTCTACATAAGTATACTGAGGATAACATGGACTGAACATATGAGCAACGACAAGGTTTTGAAGAAAATGGAAACAAAAAGGAAACATACTTATACATCAGAAAGAGGCAGTTGAAATTTCTGGGGTACATAATGAGAAAAGAGGGCTTGGAAAATTTATTACTCACAGGACAGATTGAGGGAGAGAGGAAAGCAGCATGTAACATACTTGATGAGGTTGAGTAAATGGATGGTAGAACAGGGTTTGAGAGAAATAAGAAAAAGACAAAAACTTATTAGGAGCTACAAAGGAGAGGAAGATGTGGAGAGCCATGATCGTCTACATCCTGAAGGGACACTGCACATAAAAGAAGAAGAACGAAATGATTATTTAAAGTCTATTGTTTTTCATTTGATTTGAAAAACTCACTTAACTTTTACAATATTTTCTTGTTTAAACACAACTTTACAATGACTCTTTAAAACATTTATTAAGGCATTAATATTAAATAATTGATAAATACATATTTAAATAAAATCAATATTAAATATTTTAAAACATTTAAAATAAAAAAAAGGATATTAGCCTTAATGTAGCTTCCCTGTGCCTTTTCTATAAATACTTTCATGGTAATTGTTCTGATGAACTTTTCTTTATGATATCAAGACTTTATAAATTTAAGTGGAAGACTAGATTGGTAGAAAGATCTCATCATTTTACAGCTGAATTAGCATAATCCTAAGTTCTATTCTAACAGTTTTTTCTATTGCACTTCTCTCATGATTAATCATTTCACCCCAAGTAAAGCAATAAAGCTACTAGGATGTAAGGGGTGACTGTAAGTAGTAAAAAATAAAAGCTTATATACAAATCACTATACACAAATGTTGGCATCTCTCAATTAATGCAATAGTGGAAAATAAAATGATGAAAATTAAGAAGACAGAATATAATGATTGACATTGCATTTAAATTTTTGAAGATCAAAATTGACTGAGAAGGAAGAAACCAGTAGAGAATTTCTCAAGTGAGAAGTACGAGAGAAGAAACTGTTAGTATAGAACTTATGGTGAGATCTCGCCATTTTAAAATGATGAGAGCTTGCCACCATTTTAGTACTGCACTTACATTCATAAAATCTATAACTAGTTTCATGAAAGTTCTGATATTTTGTTGAATTAGTCAAATACGAACAGAGAAATGTTAAGTTGCTATAGAAGTTCTCTTACCGTTCTAAAATTTCAGTATAAACAACATTTTCAGTAAGACTTCTATTTCTTTGACTGACATATATGACATTCAGATAAATTCTAATAATTAGTAAAATTTGTTCCTGTTGTTTGTTGAGTAGGATTCAGTATATTTCCTGCTCATCCCTACTACTGTGACTAATGGAATTTTGGTATATAAAAATTTTAGTGCACTAATCAAAAACTCATTAATTGAGAGATGCCCACATTTGTGTATAGGGATTTGGTATCTAAGCTAGCCATAAGTCTATTTTCCATATTTATGTTTTATATCCTCTGGATTAAGTCATCATCAGTGTTTAATGTACTTACTATTTCTGAGCTTGCTGTACATTCACAGAGACCAGATTTTTGTCAGCAGGATGATTGTCTGGAAGAGATAAGAAACAGACTTAGAAGTAAACAGGAGAAACATTAAAAATTAGGCAAGCAAAGATTTCTAGCATTATTATTAAAAAAAAAAACAAACAAACAATGCATTTAGTCTCTTGCCTTCAAAAAAAGATAGTGCTGAGAACTTTTGCACACTCCTATTAAAAACAAAAACACTATTTTTTAATACAATTATCCTTGAACAGAATTACTCTGGGTTCCTTAACCTTTATCACACTGTATGTGATTCCATTTACTGTACAAAAAGTTTACCCTGCCACTGAAGATGACTGATCCCTGAAGAATAGTATTTGAATAGTTCTCTTGTCATATCCTGCTATGGCAACCATAAGCAACTTTGAAATTAACTATAAGGATACTGCAACTGAGAGTCCTTGAAAAAGAATGCAGTGGGAAGTAATATTAATAATGCAGAGTGCTAAAGGTTAATAACTTACCACAATTATTTAAGTATCTACCCTTTTAAAAGACATGACAACTGTTTCATGCTATTTTTTATAGATTATCAACCCATTGTGGGTTATATAAAGTTGAAAATATTTTGGATTTTAAGAACAATTCATTTTTGTGAGTGAATATTACATTAATTATTTTTAGGATAACAATGATTTTATAGATACAAGTCCCACTATTTAACCTATAGCTGGTGGGGAGGAGATAGATTCATAGCTTTCCCAAGAGTATTTGCATGTAAGTGAATGTAATGAGCGTGAATAATAAAAAATAAGATTGGTAAATAAAAGTGCATACAATCAAAAGAGATTTGTTTTCTTTTGCTCTTTTTGGTACAGTGTTGGTAGGGAGTAAATATTAGAGACACTAAAAAAAACCTTGTACTAATTCCATCAAGGCAAAAATATGGAGCATAACTGTTCAGATAATCTGGCACCACCATGACGCAGACCTCACCCATCAAACAAAATCTACAAAAAATTGTCCAAATGTATTATGTGTGTGCTATTTTTTCTAGACACAACAAACTCATATACAGCACATGCAAATAAACACATTACATACATGAGTGCATGCACGCACACACACACATAAATAAATTCATTACTGCTTCTACTGTTCATAAACAGCAAAGTATTTATTTTTCTATCTGAATTTCTGAGATGATGAGTTATCACTATTTACAATCGGACTATTGTTCTCATCTTTGTTGTTGTTATCACAACATTTCAGCTGTTATGCTCTCTGCCTTTCATCAGGTGTATGTCAATCCACATAACCTAGAAGTGATTTTGAACTGAGGGTAGACTGTTCTCACTCCACTGCCCATCTCTAAAGATGTTATTGCTGACTCCATTTTCACTGAGTATCATTATATTATAATGTCAGGCTTCCTGTTAAATAGTAAGCATGGTGAAAGATTGTTTATAACAACATTACATTATTTACATGTGAACAATTATTCTCATCTTTGGTTTTGGCATTGCAACGTTTCGACCATTGTACCCTCTAGCCTTCATCAGGTTTATGTCGATCTGAGTAACATATGAGGAATTTTAAACTGAACCCTTTATTTAACCAATTGGAGTAGATTGTTGATGATTTATATGTCAGACATTATAATGACATTTGGTGGAAATGGGTCAAGCAATAAGTGAGACAACTAGACATGGAGAGTGAAATGAGAATAGTCTATTCCTGTAGATTAAATAAATGGTTCAGTTCAGAATTCTCTGTAAGTTACCCAGATTGACATACACCTGATGAAGACCAGATAACACAATGGCTGAAACATTGTCATAACAAAGATTATAGTCTGCATGTAAAAACATAAATACCTTTGTTATTATAAACAATCTTTCACTGTGCTTACTATTTAACAGCAAATAAAAATGCCTGACATTATGTTATAATGATACGATTTCTGTTTTTGTGTGTATTTGTTTTAACTGAAACATAGCAAAAATGGCGCATTGTAGTAAGATTGTTGTTAGAACAATACTTTTTAAATAATTTTTAAATATAGCTTTTTATATAGAAACATTTTTAAAAAAAAATATCACAAGTATCATTATTTTATGCAAAAATTTTCCTTTTTTTTTTTTTTTTTTTTTTCAGACCAGCCCCCTTCATATGTTTCAGTTGTGAGTCATTGTCTGAATCTCTGAATGCTCCTCCAGTACATTCAGTGGCTTTGCCATTAAATTTTTAACCTATTCTGCACCTCATTTTTTTTGCCCAAGGAAAAAATATTTTAAAAGATATTTCTTTGAAAAAGATTGTATATCGATCTCCTTTCAAGCTTCTTTGTTTTTTGACAGTGGTTCTGAGGTCTTCCAATGGGACAGTTTCTTGTTTGATGGCGAATCGCTCTGCATATTATATAATACAGTTTATGTAGGAGATACCAAGAATATTTGGGTAGCATCTCACTTCTAATGATGTCGTCTTTGCCCAAAATGAAAGATCCAAATAAACTTTCTCTATATGTGCAAATCTTAGACATTAACAGCAGAATTACAGTGAAGAATACAATCATTAGAAAAGAGATGTTACAGAACCATCCTTGGCAACTCCTATGTAGATTGTAATCATAAAGGATACAGTGCAAGACACACACATTATTTTATATATATATATATATATATATATATGAACTGTAGAAATGATGAGAGAAAGCAGAATAATCTATAAATGGCACATTTTGCCAATTGTCTTTTGGTCTTACCATAGAAGGAAAGTCAAAACTGTAAGAAAAATGCATTCGTGCATTTGAGGACAAGAGAGGCTATAAATTAAATTACCTAATCAGATCTGACAATCATAAATTAGAATGTCTGTCTGCCTGTTTGTTATCTATAAATACATTAGAGCCATTGATTTTAAATCAGCCCACCAAACCTAGAAAGTGTGTGTATATATAACAGAAGCCATAGCAAAAAGAAAACAGCTCTAATACATATAGAATAATCACATGAAGGTTGGTAATGAATGATAATACTTAGGACAAGAACAACACATATAAGATTCACCAGCAGCATGTAGAAGTAGACATCTGCTAGAAGTGAGTCAAGTGAATTTCACAATGAATTTCCAACTGCAGACCAACATACAGTATTTACTACAGTATTTATGTGGATGGGGACATACCCATTATTGTCCATAGGTATGCTACAATGATATATACATGAGACGTTGGTGTCTGTTGGATTTTAAATCAGCCCACTGAAATAATTTTTTTTTTTCTTGAAAATGAAAAAATCACCACAAAAGCTTTTTTGGTGATAAATCCTATTACCTTATTTTTGAATTTTTACTTAAATTCACTTGTTTTTGATCCAACAAAATATTTATCTTGTCAAGTTAACTGTTCCAAAAAGTTTGAAGACATTTAAGAATTCATCAAATCCAAATCATTCTTTTATGAGGACACTATTTAGATGGAAAGTAGTGAAAATATTTTGATGACTGAATAATGATGCAATGAGGTCATATGAATGATTTTATCTAAAGTAAATAATTGGAACAAGTTTATACAATTTTATCTAACAACAAAAAAATGAAATATCCAGAAGTATTTAAATTTTATAATTGTGCAAAAAAAAATCTTAAAAAATTTTTTATAGATTTCATTAAATGGTGGGATTACATGAAAAGGTTTTTTTGTTTCTTTTTACATTTGATCATCATTTCAAAAATTTTTTAAGAATATAGACACATCTAAAAATCATAAAATATATAATAAAATAATTTTAATAATAATTAAACTTTGACAGAACAAACACACCAAATTAATTGAAATTTTACAAAATAAAAAAATTATTGATTTCAATTTTTGGTTAAAAAGGATATTAAATCACAAATAAAAAAAAATCATGTTAAACAATATGGTGAAGAGTTTTGATAAAATCAGTACATGATCTTGAATATTTCAAATTTAAATTTAATTTACAAAAAAAAAATCTGTATTATAATAGTATCCAAAAAAATATTCCCAAATATTTAAATTGTTTTAAATTTCATCCATCAAACAAATATTAATAATTAAATTATTTCCTCATGAATAAGTGTGGCATTGACAAAAGCCTTTGAACATTTTTTTAAAGAAAAATTGGCTTAAATATGATAAAAAAATATATACATATTTAACACTTCCAATCTTTTAAGATAAAAATCATTTTAAAATGTAGTAAAAGAAATTATTTTAAAAAAATTATTATTGAAATTAATTATTATATTGTTTTTTTCTTTTAAAATTAATTTTTTTTTTTTAAAATTTCTTTTTTTGAAATATTAAAAAAATTTACATTAAAGACTAAAACATCATTACATTATTAATATCATTATTATATAATATATATATTTATAACATTATTTAAAAATAAATTTGTCAATAACAAGGTAAAAAAAAAAGAATCAATGACTTGTCTAGCAAATTGAAGGATTTTTTGATTTTTAAAAAATATCATTGTGCCACTGCATTATTCAAACAAAATTTTTTGAATTGGCCTGAATTGAAAAAATTTGACTGTACAGACAAAAAATGGTTTAGCATTTAAAAATGAACATTAAATGTGACCTTTAAAGGATATCAATGTAAGAAAGATAGAATGTCTGGTTGTCAAGGGCAAGAAATAAAATAATGAATATGAATTGAGAATCAAATTCAGACAAACAAAATTTCAAAAAGAAAAAACAAGTTTAGCAAAATGAAAAAATTTATTAAACGAGATTTTAAATGTTTGAAAACCAAAATTTTTATTTCCTTTATGAATATTTATGTCATCCAAAAATATAGCATACCTTATTTCCTAATTTGTAAAATTAGCCTCCAAAGGAAACACTTTAAAAAAATTCAATTCATTTCAGATAATATGGAATGTTTAAATTAAGATTCTATTTATTTTCATATCTCATCTTTATTTAAAAATCATTTATGTCTAGTGTTTCAACGTATAAAAACTTATTTGCAAACAAATTAAAGATTATTAAAAAAAAAAAGTTTCTTATAATTTTGAAAAATTTTAAATGAATAAAACTTAAGAGCCTCACCCAAAATGACATTTTATTTTTATGAACTGAAATAAATTTTGATTTTTAAAAAAAATTTTCAAATTAATAGAAAATTTTTGATTGCATAAAAATAAATCCTCAGCAAGAACCATTTTAAATCTTTGAATGATGGATTACCTTTCTAAAATAATTCAGACCAAAAAAAAAATATACCAATCTCTTAGATTTTAAAAGAATTTTGCATTTTATAGTTTTTATTTTCTTTATAAAAAATTGAAATAAAAAAAAATTTTTTTTTTTTTTTTTTTGAAAAAAATTCTGATAATTTTTGAAGCAAATAAAAATGAGAGAAAGATTCATTGTTTAAAAATTATCTGATTGAATATTTTTAAAATTTTTTAATTCAAATTGTTCTTTCCTCAAAAAATTTAGTTGAAAAATGATTTCATCAATAAATTTTATTTTAGTTTCTAAAAATTAATTTTAATTTTAATTTGATAAAAATGAATTTTTTTTTTAAAAATTTTTCATGAAATTATTCATTTTAGCTAGAACATAAAATAATTTAAAAACCTATAATAAAAAATAAAACTTGCCTAATTTAAATCAAAAAAAAAAATTGGAATTTAAATGTTGATGATTTAATTTTTATTGAAATTGTCTTTTAAATTTTAAATGATTTATGAAAAGATAAAAAATGGTTGATAAAAATGATTAAAATATGGATTTCAAATAAATTAATAACATAATATAATAATGAAATTAAAAAAATAAACAGCCATGAAAAAAAAAAAATGAAATTTAAAATTCTTTGATATATTTTTTATAGATTTAAAATGTCATCATTTTTTCTAACATCTTACCAATTCATTTAGTTTATCAAATGTTTATAATTTCAATAG